ATAATAATTACAACAGCTCTGTTAATACATTTATTATGACATTCACACATAGTGTTCAAATTAGGATCTGTAATATTTTCTAATGTTTTAAAAGAAGTCTCTTCTCAGCAAGGCTGCTTTTAATTGTACAGTAAAAAAATAAAATAAATCCATGCCTGATTCAAGAAGGGGGTCTGATGGCCAAAAAATATTATTTTACTAGCTCATTAATTTTAAGTTAAATTGTGCTTTGTTGTTGGTATAGTGTCTGCTAGAATGTTAAAAATGTTCAGTGTTAAATATTTTTTAATTGTTGTTTTGTAATAGATTTTTTTTTTGTTGAAAAGCAAGACAAAACAGTAAAAAGTAGTCATGAGCTGCTGGTTCACATTTAAAAAATGCTTCTACAAACAAAGTTTCATCTGCAGATATGATCTTGTTTAGGGATCTGTGTCTTTATGCATACAGACATCTGACTTATAAGTAGATTGTGTTTTTCAGCAATAGTGTGCACCCTTCATTTACAGAGAAATGAAGGTCCGGGAAAAATCTGTAGATGGAAAAATCTCATCTTGTGCATTTTTTTTTTTTTCTACTTTGCACTTTTTGTTTATTTACTATTTATTCAGGGTTTTTAAGGTATCTAATATTTTGATACTTAATTTCCATGATCTAAATATTCTTAAGAATTCAAAGTTTGTTGTCATTTGAAAGTGTGTTGGCCTTCTTGCATTATTTTGCTTTTATATTACGATTATATATTCAGTGGCCTAAAATGGTCTTAAAATTACAATAATATTGTTTATCGCAATTATTTCTGGGGCAATATATCGCACAACAAAAAGTTGTTATCGTGACAGGCCTATTCATCATGGAACCACAGAGGCTCTTGTTAAGCTATTTTATGTTTTTTTCTTTAAGTTATTTTCTTGTTATTTTATTTTGTGTTAAGTTATTTTTTTTCTGAATGTTCTCTGAAAGTTCAAATCAAAACATCCAGTTTTTTAAATGTTTTTTTTTATTTTTTACTTAAAGACAACATTAAGGGGAATGTTATATTTTATTATTTTGCAGACATCATGTGAATGTAACTTTTGAACGTTCTCTAAACCATCTTAGATGAACGTCCAACTAAAATGTTAAAAAAAAAAAGTTCCATAAACAATGTATAAATAATGTTTTTGTGCTAACATTTTAAGAACATTATAGAAGACCAGATAACTTTGAATTAATGTTACAGGGAAAATGTTTGTTCATAACATTGAGAGAACCTTGCCAAAAAAACATTTGTGAACGTTCCCTGTTGGCTGGAACAAAGATGATCTTCCAGCATCAGGGTGGGATGTCCAACAATGCTCCTCCTTATTCTAAACTGTTTACAACATGCTTCTCTTCTCAGATATTGTGAGTGAACACAACTCTTCCTTATATGGGGACCGAAAACCACATACCTAGTGCTCAGGAAGACACTCCTGACATAATACCAATGACACGCAAAATCCACAGTGTGACACCTGAAATTGTGCAGCATGACTTCTGGTAATCCAGAGAATACAGATATGTGTGGTGCTCAGGAAGCGGGATGGGGATGTCAATGACAGCTAAAGGCAAAAAGCCATATTTTTAGGTATTTTTAAAAGTGGACCACTAATGGGAATAAATGTGGCAGAAGTTTGTCAGAGGAATCAATTAAATTATGTCATGAGGAACATCAGTACATTACTTTAGTACAGAATGATATGATCAAGGACAAAAACTATGACTGAGGGATGACATCACAGGCAAAGCTGTCAAATATTTCAATTGGACTGAAATGGTTTTCGCCATTTTATAGAAGCAACTTCATCAAATCAATGTGCAAATTTGACTAAAATCAACTAAACAACAATTTGCACCTGCGTTCATTACATTTCATAAGTAGGAATGAGTGCTAGATGTCAACAATGACAATATTTCCGTGTTTTGATAAAGTTCTGCTAAGTTAGTCAAGTTTAGCTAGAAGCTGAGGCGAGTTTATCCATTATTATGCTGTTACATTATGATTATATATTCAGTGGCATAAAATGGTCTTTAAAATGACAATAATATCGCGTATTGCAATTATTTCTGGGGCAATATATCGCACAACAAAAAGTTGTTATCGTGACAGGCCTAGTTGTGTCTGTGATCTTTTCTGGAAATCATCTCAGGATCAGTGCATTTGAAAAATCACCTCATTGTCAGAATCTCCCAACGTGCATTTGAAATGTATTTGCACAAATAACATCTAAATGAGGTGTAAACGTTTCTGTTCCTGTCATTTCTGCGAGCATTTTGAGCTTTTTATGAAGATTCGCATGAAGTCACGTTGTATACAATCAGACTTCTTCAAGATTCTTGACAAAAAGCCTCTGTGTAATTTACTGGAGAATCAAGGCGAACAGGATAAACAGAGGACGGGAAGTGAGCGGGAATCAGGTGCTGTGTGTGTGAGTGTGAGTGTGAGTGTGTGAGTGTGTGGGTGTGAGTGTGTGTGTGAGTGTGTGTGAGTGTGAGTGTGAGAGT